TCCTCTGGACACATTCCAGCTTGTCAATATCTCTCTGCAATTGTGGTGCCCAGAATTGGACACAATATTCCAAAATCTCCTCTTGGAGATGGATGGGGTGGCTGGAGGCATTTTGTGCCATATGTAAGCCAACTCAAGTCCCTTCAGGGAGATGGAGGCAGGGTACAAAATAAAGTTGTTGTTCTTGTTCTTGTTGTTCTTGTTGTTGTCGTCATCATCACCATCATTATCATCTTCACCTCAGAGAGGTAGCTGGCCAATTTAAGCCTAGAATTGGTCTTTTAAAGAATAGAAAATGCACAATAAATTGATTATGTTCAAGTCTTGTTAATGGCCCACGTAAGCTAAAACATGGTGATGATGCTTCCAGTGTTATCTAAAAGAGTGTCTGAGAACCTTTGGGAAACACCCATTTTGTATTTCGTTTGCAGAGGAGGCTGATCCTTTAATGGTTTCCTGAGAAGTCAGAGCATCTCCCAGTCTTCCATGCTGGCTCACTCATTTATTATGTTCTTAATTCTATAAACCCAGACATTTCCATAGGTACGTTGTGCATCTACACTGTAGAACAAATGCAGTTTGACACCACTTCTGCTGCCAGGGTTCAATGCTATAGAATCCCGGGTACTGTCATTTTCCAAGGTCTTTAGCCTTCTCTCCCCAACTACAACTCCCCAAATTCCATAGCACTGAGTCCTGTTAAAATGGAGTCAAACTGCATTTATTCTACAGTGTAGATGTGTCTGTAGGTAGAGATATAATCCAAGATCTTATATTTCAATTGCTACGTATATCGCCATTTGGGAATATGCACATTGATTGTGCTGCTGAATGCTTGGTCAAATGGCAATGCAGTGGGCATTAATATAAATGTATCTGAGTGCACAAATGAATATGGAGCAACTGAATGCACAACCAAATATGCCTTCAGATGGTTCAGATGGAAAGTGCTAACTCCTTTCGTAAGAAAGTTTACACTTTTAAAGTCTCCAATATGATTTCACCCTATTTCCAAGTTTCTTATCTCCTTCTGGGCTGCTTCTTCCATGGATTGCCTTTGACTTGCAACATGTGCTGCTACCTAGCTTGGTTTTAATGTGTTTAGACAGTAAATAATATTTTTGTCCTGTCTCACATTTGAAAATATTTCATTTTTACATGAATTTTGTATACATTATTCCATGATCTATACACTGCCATATAATGCAGTTTGGAACATCAGTATATGGTCAGTGTAGACTCATGTATGATAAGAAACAAATTCTTATCATGTATGATAAGAAACAAATTGGTATGATAAGAAACAAAGATGGCAGGGACCTAACAGAAGCTGAAGAGATCAAGAGAAGGTGGCGAGACTATACAGAAGATCTGTATAGGAAGGATAATAATATTGAGGATAGTTTTCACGGTGTGGTGAATGAATTAGAACCAGACAT